GCTGTCCTGTCACCCACAGCTACTTTAGCAGAACCCACGACGTTCTATACAACTTACACCTATTTCACAACTTCTTACATTGGCAACAGTACTGTTCTCAGCAGCCGACTAGAAACTGTGACGAATATTGTAAACGAAACTGCTAATGATGTTACAGGCCGCGCTATTGGTAGTGGTGCAAGTGAACAGAATGTCTCTGAGCAAATTACAAAAACTGAGTCGCCCGTACATTCATCATTGCCACTCCAGCCAACTGGTCTCCTGTCGACCATCCTAACCAGTGAGGTAAACAATGGCACCACAATACTGTTCTCAACTGATGTGTATGGTACATTCATAGATGGCCTGTATGCACAAGTGCTAGAAAGTTCCACTCAGATCGTTACCTCTCCTCCTGTCTCTTCAACCAAGGTGAACTTAGAATTAAAACCTACGGGAGTTGTGTCCCTGAACGAAGGCAGAATCGTGGATGCAGATGGAGTCAGCACAACTTACTTCACTACTAGAGCAATAGGAACTTACATCGACACTCTCTACGCAGAAGTGGTTGAAAGTACAACCACCATCAAAGTGAACACCGAGAGACAATCTATTCTTGCAGCAATTAGCCCAAGCACAACTCAAGGCACAAAAGCACAAAGAACTGGGTTGGTTCGTATAGTTGAAGGTTCAATAGTTAAGGATGAAACAACTACGTTCTATGAATCCAGGGTAGTGGGCACACTGATTGACGGACGCTACGCTCAAATAATTGAGAGCACTTCGAGTTTCAAAGTGGCTGTTACGCCCACCTCTGTTCCCGGTTCTAGTGCGGGCGAGATAGCAGCCACCTCAACTCTGAGTACAGATGTCACTGTAATACCAACAGTATCGTCAACCACGTCGCCCTCGCCGGCCGTTATAGAGAGTTCGCTCAGCGAGGGAAGTGGCGCGACAGAAGGCGAAACGGAAGATGATGGAGACAGTGGAGAAGACAACGAGGGTGACGATGCTGGAAAAAATCGCAAGAAATCAAGGCTGACGTTTTCAACAAGAAAGCGGACGTTCACACCTCAAATTAGACCATTTGCGTCAAGGAACAGGCCAACCTTTAACCCCAAGAGAAAGACGGCTTTGGGTAGTAGTGCTACAACAATAACAAGGGCAACAGTTACCCCAACTGTAACAGCAACACCAGCGGCAAAAACCGAAATCAACGGTGCTGGGAAAGG